CCCCAACGAAATGTTGGAAGGAGGAGAGCGTTCGCTCAGGCCCTTCTCCATCAAGTTGCGGATCTCGACGGAGGTGCCTGTTACGTAGACGCGGCGCAATATGATGACCAGAAAGACCAATTCACGGTAGTGGCAATAGCAACAAAGGGGTTACAATTAATGCGGCATTAGTATGCGCTAATACTGCCAATGCAGCCGAGCATGCAGGTTGCCATGGCCTTGGCTCTATTAGATCAGCGTAATGAACATATATTTAGCGATTCGAGAGCTGCGATTTGTGCCTTCAGTGTTGTAGCAGTTTGGAAAAAGGCCAAAGATATACTCGGTGAAAAGTCGGTTACAACCCATACCCTTACATGATTTCTGGCTCATATGCTAAACATGGACGGAGGGATTATCAATCTCCATGAGTTGGCCCACTCCAGGGCGCGAGGGTTAGCCGTCTTCGGCCATGGAGGACCTTTGGGTCGACCTGGAGATTCTGTAAGCAGGGATTCGCCAACTACACACAATGAAATTACCTAACATTTCGCTATGAATCGGATAACCTTTTAACCTCCACATAGGAAGCTAAATATAGCACAGGTGCTTACATTGCCATTACTTCAAACATAAACATGCCCTATTTCTGCATTTCTCCACAAGCTTTACCTTGAGGTTTATTTAATCAACTCGCCTACAAAATGTGGCCGTTTAGTCACCTTACACAACATGCTCTGGAAGTGCCCTTCGGTACACGGCACCGATACAGCATCGTCCTGAAACTGGGACTCCACTCTCCAGAGTCTGGACATAACATCACAACTTGAGGGTGCCAGAGGGCCCGCGATGCTGCGCTAGGTCTCGGCCTTACTGTTTCATCGTGCGAGTGGTCCGCCATGTGCTAGGGCGCACGAATTCGGACTTTCACGATAATTTTTTCCCAAACCATTACCGTGATTATTGAGAGAGTGTACAAGAGAAAGGCTCCAGTTGTGGTGGCTCCTTTGTTAATATGCGTCGCTGTCCGTCACGCGACTGTTGAGAGAGTGTGAAGAGGAGAGGTAAAAGCTGGCACCATTCCAGGGCATAGGCGGACTGACGGACGTGAGTGTCAGTTATAAAAGCTTTAGCCCTAAAGAAGTGAAGGGCTGAAGTTGCCACACCATAGATCAAAATGTGATGCATGGTTGAAGTGTCTACAGAGAAGCGAAGCCAGCCTAGAGATTAATAAGGTGATGCAAAAAAAAAAACGCCAGGCCTGCGCGGAAGGTGCAGTATAGTCACAGCGAAAGCTAGGACTGCATCACTCGGACTGACAGAAAATTTTCTGTTGACGATAAACACGAAACGGAACCTTATGGGCGTACAAGTACACGGCGTACATGTCGTTGTTCTTGTCGACACCAGCACTCAATTTTCCGTGATGACGAGTGATTTTCGCCGCGAGCTCAAGAAGGTTCTCACACCTGTGAACAGTGAGTTTGTCCGTGTTGCGGATGACGGAATAGGATCTATTGTTGGAATGTGCTCCACTCATGCAAGCATTGCGGCTAGACACACAGTTGTTCTCTTCACTGTCCTTAATAAATGCCCCCACGACGTAATCTTAGGCCTCGACTTCCTGTCCGTGCATTCTGCCCTCATAGACTGTTCGACCAGTACGCTATGTCTACACTTGCCCACAACAAAACCTCTTGCATAGACTTTTCTAAACACTCATTGAGTAACTGCCGCAAGTACACTTGCTCGATGCCAACTACAGCATTATAAAAAAATTTAGGGTAGTAGGCCAGCATTTTATATGCTAATTTTTGTCATTGTTGCGATAAGCGTGGCATCCGCTAAACTAGTGCGAAAAACTTTGTGCCAGTTGTTCATGCAGTCGCTGACGACAGTGCGGAATTATGGCTGAAGTGGGTATGTGCCACAGGTATTAGGAAAACAAGAACAAACTTGTGCCATGGGTTGGAGCATTGGACGGCTCACTAGATATGCTATTCACATTGTGCGACGACTGCTTCTTTTTTCGCTGTTTTGAAACGCTTTACAAGTCGTAATAAAGCAATTGCTTTCCCGACGTCAAGCCTGCCTAAGAAAAGTTCAATAAATATCACAAGCACCAGTGTACCTCAGCGGTAGAACACTAGGCTGACACCTAGAGGACCCGGGTTTGAGCCCCATTGTGTCGTTAGTACTAGGCTTTCTATTTTTTTATGAGGTTACGGATAACGGCAGCGGCAGCAGCGGCAGACACCTATGCCACTGCGCGAGTCCCGAGTTGTGATCTAATAACAGCTTTCGCTGTAATATGGACCAATATTCCTGTGACAGTCCACTGTTCAAGGCGAAGCTAAAGTGTTCTTCGAGTTTTCCTACTGAGAACTGCGGATATTTTCACTACTGCTTTAAAAAGTCAGTACAGAAGCCATTTCCTTCATTGCCAGTTGTAATTTTCATAAAAGTTTGTGGTGTTGAGAAATGCACGTGAATTTCTTTACACAAGCATCTAACTTCTCATTACTACTGCTGTGGTGGCTATTCGCTTTTACAATAATGTAATAAACATTACACATATATTCTCTTTGACCCAGGAAACCTCGAAATAAAACAGGTTTTTGAGATGTTAGCACAGAAGCTCACAGCATCGCTTATGCTACACTTTTTTCGCCCCAATTCTTTTAATGTACGTAATGGTTTACAAATGTTGCCTTGTTTGACCACTGCTATTTCTTACGAAATGTTTTCAAGTTTAGAAATGGTTAAAACTATATTACATAAAGTTCCCTGGTACGTACTGCTATAGAAATGTTCAAAGTATTCAACTAGTTTATGTAAATGAGCTAAGTAACCTGTCACTTAATCTGTTTTTTGTTAATAATATTATTCAATAGTAGTACGCACTGCCTGCATCATAAAGGCGCTGCAACGTCAAACGTTCCTCAGTGCAGGAGCTTTTTTTGTGACAGCTCTTTTTTGAAAGACAAATAAAGATTAAATTGATGGTCCAGCATTAATTGACCCTAGAAGTATACGTGCAAGTACAACCACTAATTATGATGAGCAAATTATGACACTGTATCTTGTGATTGATTTCAATAATAGTGCCGGCTGTGCCACCACGTGAGTGCCTATGTTACGTCGTAATCTATGTTACCCTTTTAAAGGTGTGCTGACACCATTTTTGAAGTGCGAATAAACTCTGCGTACGTATAAAATACACACAAAGACAGCTTCGAGAAAGCGCAAAGCTGAGCTAATGATTATAAGGTATTTTATTGCTATATAAAAGTTGATTTTTTGCATTAGACACCTTTCGATATCGTCATTAGCGTGATGCCAGGCTACACTACAAAATCTGGTAACACAGCAATAACGATAGTTGTGATGATGTCACGTACCAAAATTTCATTATGGCTGCGAGGCCGTCCCCAAAACGTTCGAAATAACTGCTTATACATCAACAATGGAAGCACCACGCTGAGGCGCCATGGAAACACGACTACTCTTTCACGCAAGCAACTGATGCGAATTCATTACCACGTCGTGATGCCAGGGTACAGCACGAACTGAAACAAGATTTTAAAAACATATTGCAATTACTTCTTAAAGGCTCACTTACGTCGAGCCATAATTTTTTAGGTGGTTATGGAGCTGACTCTTCATTTCACGCAAGAATAAAAACTACAGTTTAAAACATTCGTGTATCTTCATGAATGAGCTGTCTGAGCAGCTTTCGGCCATTCGGCAAGTCAAAGGTGCGTCCCGGGTTCAAGGGCTTCAAACCGTCACCAGAGGCATCATCATCAAGCGATGAAGGGTAGGAAGGAAAAGAAGTTTATCCCCTCTTGCCCCTCCGTAACCGTATTTTCTGCGGTGTAGTCGACATATACCTAGTAAGCCCCACATGTGCTACACAATCAAGTATACACAAGCACGCCTATGACCTTTGTGATGTACCATTCAAATCAACATAACAAAATAAACAAGTCTGTGGCACAGGGTACTCCAGTGTTAATGTCCGTGTGGTCTGCGTGTCATGGAGATGCCATCCGTGACAATGAAACTAATTTTATACCACTTCCCAATGCCGTTTAGGCTCATTTATTCTCCCAAAATATAAGTAAATCGTTTTGCGGCACTGGCTCATGACAACGCTTGTCTGATTTCCGAACAAATGTCGCCGCCTTCATGCCCAGTAAAATGACACTTTCGGCACAGCTTAGCGAGAAGTGAAGCACAATGAACGCAGACACAATGCCACTGGGGTGCATGGCTGCTCGAGCTGGTTAAGACACGTCCTGCGCACGTGACCTTGCGAGTGCATGGCATGATGGTGCACTCACATCATGTGAATTTCTGGCTGCGGGGCCGAAGAGGGCTGGAAAGCCATCTTTTTTTCTCAAGGCTGCACAGGCGAAGGAGCAGTTAGGGAGGAAAAAAAAGAAAAACTGGACTAACACATACAAAGCGCACCGCAGCCTTTACCTGCAGTGTTTTCCAACTAAACCCAGCACAAGCTTTTTCGGCCCAATTTTTTATTGTGAAAACATCTTTCGGCATCCGCCGCGCGATTTCCTCGCGCATCATCCATATAAAGTCACTCCTCCGTTGTTCGTTTTTAAGTTTATCAAACCTGAAAGGAGAGATGTTTTTCAGACAATGTTCTCAAGATTAGTAATGTTTAAGATAGTAATGTTGGCAAGTATACGTCATCAGTGCATGACGTACGAGACACACAATAGGTTCTGCTTTTACGGCTATTCGTGGGTAAACGACTTTTTGAAATCAGATAGAAAAATCATTTTCTCTACGTAAACAATCTGTCTTACTCATGCTACCACAATGCATTTTGATACTGATAGTTCAACGCTTTGCAACAGACGGCCTGCAATAGCTTTCTTGCTAAGAGCAAATAAATGTAAGAAAAGATTGCTGCTGTTGAAAAAAAAACTGGTTGAGGCTGCTGTCTAGATAAATAGATACTCGTCGATCGTAGTCCTTGCAAGCTCTGCATAGTGCCAAGTCGGAATATGAAATGCTTGTTCATCACGTGGCTGCTTGCCACATCGGTGGCCCTTGTAAAATCCCTCCATCAGCAACAGCAAGTGTGGTTGCCACCCCCGTTCATGCAGCAGGAACAGCAGCTGATCCCACTATCCTCACTAATGGTGCAGAAAGTTGTACCGCAGGCGCACCATCAGCAACAGGCTCTGCCTCTGCCAAAGCACCTTCATCAGCAGCAGCTACCACGGCTAAAAGCGCAGCCACAGCAGCAACGGCAGTTGGTGATTGCACCGCCGCGGCTGATGCAGCAGGAATCCGCAGATATAAGGAAGCCACAGAAGCCACAGGATGAGTTAATGCTACGGCCAGTGACTCAGCAGCGTCCTCCACCGCATGAAAAGGTGTTGGCAAAGGAGGGAATACCACCGCGACAACAAAAGCTGCTTGTAAGCCCACTGCCACAGACGACAACAAAGCAAGGGCATTTTGTGACACCACCAATGACTCAGCACCAAATGTCATGGCATCTGAAGCCACCGACGCTACAGGTCCTGCCGCCATCGACAACGCATCAGAAAAAGCAGTTACTGCTTTTTCGACAGCCACTGTCGCAACAGCGGCCATCGCAGCACCACCTGCCACGACATGTGGTGGTGTTGCTGCAATCTTCAGTGGTAAAGCAACGACAGTTTATGAACCGCGGAAGTGAAAAGGCTGTTGTCATGTCAGTGCAACCATCACTGCAACATGCATCACCACGACAGCACAAGCCAGTGGTGTCACTGCAGACAGTGACGCCCCAGCGACAGCATTCGGTGGTGCGACTGACAACGGTGACACAGAATAATGGGCCACCCCACCATAAGCCATCGACCAAGCAAGACCTATTACTACCACAAAAACAGCGGATAGTTGTTTCCGTACTTTCAGCCACGCAGAAGAGACAAATGCTTGTACTGTCTCGACCACGAGTGACACAGCATCGGCAATTGCCTCCCCGTAAGATACTGACACAGCAAGACCTAGCAATTCAGCAACAAACGCAGGTGGTAGTGCCACTGCCACCGCCGACAAAGCAGCAAGTGTTGAAGTTCAGTCGACAACCGGCAATGAAGCCCCACGAACCACCTAAACGCAAATCACCAACACATCAAATTTCAACACTACGGCAGCAACAGCGATTGCTTATGTCTTTGCCCCCAGCAAGGCAGCAACAAAGGTTAGTGTTGCCTCCTCCATCGGAGATGAAGCAACAAAGAAAACCTAACCACGAGACACCAACACACCATGTCCTATCACCACAACAGCAAGAGCGGCTAATAGTTCCCCTGCCACCAGCCACGCAGCAGCGACAGAGGTCGTTATTGCCTCTACCACATACGATGGAGCAACAACAGCAGCCTAAAAACAAGCCACTGTTAACGCAAGACCCAACACCACAGCAGCAACAGCGGATGACATTGCCACTGCTATTGGTGACGCAGCAGAAGCAGCACAGTTTGACATTGCCCCAGTCGAAAACGGTGCAACAGCAAAAAACACCTAAACACAAGCCACCATCCCAGGAAGACGTAATGCAACAGCAGCAACAGCGGGTGGCAGTGCCATTGCCATCGGACCCGCAGCAGCAGCAGAGGTTGGCGTTGCCTAAACCACAAACGATGCAGGAGAAAAATCCGCCTAACCACAAGTCACCGCTACTGCGAGACTTGACGAGACAGCAGCAACGTCAGGTTACAGCGCCACTGTCATCAGTCACGCAGCAGCAGACGTTGTCGTTGGCAAAACCACAAGCAATACCACAGGTAGAACCATCCAACTACAAGTCAACGTTACTCAAAGACTTAACGCAACAGCGACTTCAGCACATTGAAGCGCCACTGCCACCAGTCACGAAGCAGCAGCAAAGGTTGGCGATGTCCCCACTGCAAACGGCGCAACAGGAAAAGCCACTTAACCACAAGCCACAGTCACAGCAAGACATAACGCAGCCGCAGCCACAGTGGGTGATAGCGCCACTGCCATCCGACACGCAGCAACATCAAATGTTGGCGATGCCGCAACTGCAAACAATGCAACAGCGAAAACCACCTAACCAAGAGTCACTGCCACAGGAAAGCCTAACGGAACATCAGCAAGATAGGCTAACAGAGCCACTGCCATCCGTCACGCACCCACAGCAGAGGTTGTCGATGCCGCCACTGCTGACGATGCAACAACAATACCTGCCTAACCACGAGCCACCTTCGCAGCAAAGCCTAACAAAAACGCAGCAACAGCGGAGGGTAGTGCCATTACCATCCGTCATGCAGCAAGAGCAGAGGTTGGCGATGCCCCAGCTGCAAACAACGCAACAGCAGCAAGAGAGGGTTGTAGTACCACAGCAATCTGACCCGCAACAGCAGAGGTTGGCCGTCCCCCTGCCACAAACGATGCAACAGCAAAAGCCACATAGCCACAAGCCACTGTTACAGCACGTCCTAACGCAACAGCAGCAAGAAAGGGTGATAGCGCCACTGCCATCTGACAAGCAGCAACAGAAGAGGTTGGCGATACCCCAGCTGAAAACAATGCCGCAGCAAAAGCCGCCTAACCAAGAGCCATCATCACAGCAAGGCCCAATGCAACAGCAACAACAGGGGGTGATAGAGCTACTGCCATTCGTCACACCACAACAGCAGAGGTTGGCGATGCCCCGGCCACTGACAAAGCAAATGCAAATGTCATTTAACTACAGTAAAACGTCACAGCAGGACCAAGCGTCAGAGCAGCAACACCAGTGGGTCATGCCACTGCCACCGGTGATGCAGCAGCAGCAAAGGTTGGTGTTGTCCCAACAACGGACAAGACAGCAGCAGGAGCAGCCCAACAACAAGCCACAGAATCGGCAAGTCTTATCGTCATCAGAGGAACAACGGCGGCTTGTGCCACCAGTGACACAAAAGCATCAAACGCTTTTGCTGCTGACGCCGCCACTAATACGGCAGCGACTGCCATAGCAGAAGATGCCGATGACGCAGTAGGTCTTACGAGCACAGCAACACTGGATAGGGCCGCCACCACCGACGCAGCAAGCAGATCCACCAAAGTACAACTTGCCTGAGCAGCAGACTATGGCACCTCTGGTACAAGGTCTGCAGCTTGCGGCTCCGAATCCATCACTATTTCCGACACCACCGGTGGTTCACTCCAATAAAAAAAGACTAGCGTCCTCTGTGTTTGCAACAGCAAGCACAGAGGTCGCTAATGCATCCGTGCTCGTGGCGACTGGCGCAGTAAGATTTGTGTCGACCAAATAAAGAAAAAAAGATGCAGTGGATTTGCTACTTTGGAACACGCATGGATGTATTATATTTTCATTCTTTTATTTCAAAGAAGTGCAACGAAGTTACCATTTATAGCAGTTAATTTTTCAGATGAGTTGTAACTTGAGTACGAAAGAAACTGCAAAACGGCAATAGATGCCTTCAAAGATGAAGGGGCATGCTTCGCTGATTGCGAAGTAAAATGAAAAGTTTCGTGGTATCGGGAAATATAGTACGATATTAGGTCATCAGGTACAAATATTCTCCCTTCTGCCCACTTGGTCAATTACCTGGCTTCTGTCAACTCCACCTGCCTTAGGAAATCACTCTGGTGCTGTTTCAGTTCCATACATGACATGAGACAAGAGTTGCCCCTGGGTATTGGAGTGCTGCCACATTGCACAAGGAGCACTGGACGCTGGTAACCAGGCAGACTGGTAGAACCATTACGGACCAGGATTCTAATTGCTGTTAAGAACTTGGATGGTGTCTACATCTTGATTACAGCCGATTCGCAAACAAAACAATAAAACAGGAAAGCCGGAAACATGCACGAGCGTGCAGAATTTCAGCCCACCACTTCCATGCTCCTGATGTACAGAGGCTGACTCTATACCAGCGTTGCACACACTTCTCTAAAACAGCAACAAAAACTAGTTCCTCGTTCCTTCCAAATCTTGGAACGAATTCCCTCTACAATCTTTTCAGGCGAATGAAACTTGATTCAGCTATATTTGAAAATTCGGAACGTGTCCTGCTGGAACGCTACACTTGAAATTTCAGGCAAAATATTGTGACTCGTGGTTTTGAGGCCAAATAAAGTTAGCATTGGAAAACTCCGATATGCGTTCTTACATAATCACACTTCCGCTTGCATTATGTATGGCTTTCGTTTTCATAGACGCTTGTAAGTAACGTGAACGCCACTTATTTATGCGCTTCAAGGAGAGCGTCTCGTCGTCAGCGAGTGCGGATACACGTTTTATCGGCTTCACGAAACCGATGCGGCCACTTTGGCATATCGGCATCAAGGCACAGCAATCTTCGTTTTACGCAATCGGAGAGTCAGAGGAAGGCCCCCACCAAGTTTCGTTATCCTTGCACCGAAGCTACTTGATTTATTGAGAAGCCCAGCACGCCCTACAGGCCGTGCTAAGCCAAGCACGAGGCACAGCTCGGCGGCTCACCGACACGATAGATGTGGTGCATGTCGAAGGAACTACTCTACGAGAAGAAGACTACAACGCATCAGACTGGACTACAGGCATGGAAACCTACCAAGGCAAGTCCCAGTCAAAAGAGCACCTGAGTAATGTACACGAAGCAAGCGAAAACCAGATACCCGCGGAGAAAAGAACTGAGATGCTTACCGCGTCGGCGTCGCGTCCGACGTACCGCCTGAACCCAGCGCTGCTGTGTGCAACATGCAAGTGACGCGAAAAACTCGACAAATGGCTCCACTGCCAAAACACGCTATCAAGGTGGTTTTCTGGTCTCTTCATGCCGAACATACAGCCGCAGCTCCTACTCCGTCTCCTTTGTGCGACAGCGGATATACCGGTGGACGCAGACGTGCAAATACGTGCACACTCAACAAAGAATATGCACACAGTAGCCACCGCTAACCAAGAAACAGCCCTGAAGCTAGTTAAAATGCGCACAATTACATTGAATGCAAAGGCCTGCGTGGTAGCAGCGTACATAGTCCCTGCTGCGGATACTGTTCGAGGCGTGATATCCATTGCTTTCTGGGATAAAACGGAAAAAGAGCTTCTTCAAGAACTGCAAGCGAGAAATCCTGAGGCGGGCATCCTGCTAGCAAGATGCATGGTCAAGTCCAAATCTATCCTTATTACCTTTGCCCACGTACCTATCCCTCGTAGAATTATCTACTATTGGGGGAGTGCACCTATGCACGCCATACAGAACACAACATAAATAGAGGCTTGCACAAACTGCCGTGTCCCACGGCACAGATATGATGCGTGCCCACACCAGAAGAAACCGCGATGTCCAAGGTGAGATGAAGATCACGGAGAAGATAGAAGTCGGCAATGTGTGCCGCGTCGCACTCTATTTGGTGGAGAGCACCTTACAGGAACAGGGACACCTTACAAGAGCAGATAAGGGTGGTGTAAGGCAAAGCAGCGACAGATCACAATGTAGCCCCCGGTCTACAGGGACACTACTAGGTGACAGCAGCAGCACACAAATGGATTCACAACACAGCAGTCGTCAGCACCAGCAATGGCCCCCGGGGAGCTCACATGGGCAGCACGAGCCACCCGTAAACCAGACCATCACGATGTGGAGCTGATCCGACTTTGAGAAGAGGTACGAAGCTTGCGACAGGCCATTACACAACCCTCACACCCACCCCCTAATCACCCTTAACACACAGTAACATTTTACCCGCTACATAATCTTCATCACCTACACCGCTTCAGAAAAAAAGAGTCGAAGTTCCTCCTTCATCAGACGTGCCACCTGAATCTGAGCAATTAAGCAAAAGAGCTGATGTGGAGGCTCAGTTTGAAGCGAAACTTGAGGCAAAATTAACAGCAAAACTGTCACATTTGGAAAAACAGATGCATGACTAATTTCAACAATTCCTCGAAACTCGTCTCCAAACAATGGAGGCTCGTGTTGACTGCCTCAGTGATGAGCTATTCAAAATTTTAGACAAAAAACTAGGCACCTTTTATGCTATCCCCAGCTCAAGGCACAATCGGCCCTCATGGTGACAGAGGCAAGCAACCATTTGCAGGCTGCGCCATTCCCCTTCATCATATATCTCCATCCTAATTTCAATACTTCTGTGCAGTAAAATGGCAGGTGAATCACGTAATTCTAACACACCTCCAGTTCTAAAAATTTGGCATTGGAACTGTCGCAGCACATGCCGTAAGCGAGCAGCACTAATTCAGTTAATACTAAGTGAAGAGAGCCCGCTATATATGATTCTTCTACAGGACCCTTAAACTAGCATATCGCTGCCAGGCTACATTGCTTATCACTCGACAAATTATAGTGCTCCGGTTGTGTCCACATTAATCAAGCGAGTCATAAGGCATGCGCAGCGTTCTTTTTCCCATACACTCCAGTACATTGTTTTTGAGGTTATCCCGATTCACATTCATACAGATTTTTTTTTACTCATCGCCAATATCTATAACCGCCCTAGAATGCCAGCAACGCGCTGCGCCTAGCTCAAAGCCCAAATTGCCGGAACGGCTAATAAGACGCCACTCATAGTACCCGGAGACTTTAACTGCGCTCACGTTTATTGCGTGTAAAAAAGAACTGCTGGCGGAAGTGAAGCACTGATGACACAAACTCAACATTCACAGCTCCCTGTTTACAATGATTTTGATTTCCCAACCAGGCAAGGTACAACAGGAACGATGGACAAAAGTCCATATCTCACGATGGGAAGGCGCATCCAAAATCTAGAATGGAACAGAACAACACATTGTTTTGGCAGTGATCACTATATTATAGAGGTTAAGCTTAGTGGTCCACAAGTATATCTAGCACGAACAAAACATATGATTAACTGGGATAACTTTAGACAGAGTGGGAAGTAAATCAGCGAACAGGGCCGATGAATGTGCGCACATGGACAGCACAGGTTCTTGGGAACCAAGCGGCAAGCACGAGGAAATATAGCCCGAAACGCTATGTTCCAGCTATGGATTCAAAATTGGCCCATTTGATAGAAGCACATGGAAGTCTAATAAAACGATATGCTCAACAAAAATGCGATAGTAAGCTCCAAGGTAAGATATCTGGTCTTTCAATGCAAATTTAGGAATACAGTCACCAGTTTTCCAGACAGAATTGGCAACAGATATGCGAGGATCTCAGAGGCAATCTCACTACCGCTCGTGTATGGCATCTTTTGAAACATGTAACTGATACCAATCTAAGTAAACGCCATACTAGGAATATCGTTGCTCGCTTAACACACAATCATAAGTACGACACGGAACCACTACAAAAATCTTAAAAGCCTCCATACCTCACCGGGCACTCCAACTCCATTGCCGGATATCGCCGGCCCACCAAACAGTGAGCTTAACAAAGATATCACGGTAGAAGTTCGAGCAGCCCTACATAGGCTTCGCAACACTACTCCAGGTGAATATCGCATAACAAACGCCACTCTCAGAAACCTAGATGACAGGTCCCTCGAGAGCTTACTGATATTTAAAATACTTATTGGGGGAGTCGCACACTGCCAGAAGAATGGACACACGGAAGGGTTAGCCTTATACCCAAGCCTAAAAACCAGTTCACAAAGAAAATACGCGTCCGATTTCCCTTACCTCTAGCCTGGGTAAACTCTTAGAGCGATTCATTTTCGCTAGACGGAACAGCCACTTGGACGAGACCGGTCAATACCCAGACTCAATGATCGGTTTTATGTCAGGCCTATCCACGCAAGATGTCATGCTCCAGCTTACAACAGCTATTCTTGACCCCCTCATACCTACGCATACTAAAGCTGTCCTGGCAATAGACTTCAAAAGGTCATTTGTTAACGGCAAACATAAAGCCATCCTAAAAGCCCTGGTAGACCTTAGAATCAGCCAATGAACTTATAACTAGATAAGGGCTTTCCTGCAAAACCAAACGGTTACTATGTGTGCAGACAATAATCCTACACAGCGCTGCACATAGGTAACATAGGTACCCCCCAAAGACCTGTGCGGTCCCCTTTCGTTTTTAACGCAGTACTTATTCCACTTGCGCGGAAGCTGCAGAATATCCCTCATCTTGGCCACACCTTGTACGCATATGATAATACTTTGTGGACTACATACTGATCAGACGAACAAATTGAAGAAACGCTACAAACAGCTGAAACTGTAATACAGGACAAGGTTTCTTTGTTTCTTTGTTCGTTTGTTTCTTTATTTGTTTCTTTCTGTGTCAGTACAGAAAATGGAGCGAAGGCAAAAGGCTGAAAGCCTGACAAAGGGCCTTTGCT